AGAAGATTAGTAGACGTTGCTCAACATATAGTAGTGCGAAAAACTGATTGTAAAACTAATAATTGTATTTCAATTCATTGTCTATATATTATTTATAGGATGTTGTACTCTTTTTAGTTTATTGAATAACTTTCATTTTCATTTGGATTCCACACAATCAAATCATCAATAGCGAGCTCCCCAGGTAAGGCGCAAAGTCGGCAGCTCCCAAGGAGGAGGAAGCACGTCCTCGTCGGGAGCCGGTCAAAGTCAAATTCCCTGATTCCTATAGTGGGAAAAGGGAAGAGAACTTTGACAATTGGGAGGCCAACGTGAAGACCTATGTGCATATGCAACAGGTCTCCCCGGATCAGCAGGTTCTAATCGCGATCCACGCGCTTAAAGATGAGGCCGCCAGCTTTGCAAGGTCCCTAGTTCGTGCCGCCAACTGCAATGACGATCCAGTTGCATAGTCGTCATTCACTCCCCTCGCCGAATTCCTGAAGTTGCTGCGCGAGCGATTCGCTGATATTGCTCGCAGTGTCAAAGCCTCAGATAGGCTTCAGACATCCACTCGCACCAATGGAAGAGTGCCAGGGCACTCAAAGGCACAATGGACGAGCTAGTGGTTGTTCCTGACCATGGGGTCACTGAGACCCAGTTGGTCAACCTCTTCTACCGGGCTATGCCCGAGTCGCTGCGTGGCCACTTCTTTACGAAGAGCCAGGACCCTGCTATGACTTATGATGCACTTAGCAGGGAGGTGGTCGCGTTCGAGGCGAAGTCTGTGTCAGTTTCCACTTTCTAGCACAAGGACTTAGACAAGGGAAAGAAGTGGAAGGGCCGCACTATCTCAGGGCAAGTGAAGACTAAGGATAGTCTTGTCCTGACTTTAGACGAGGGTAATGTGGATGAGATCCCCTACGAGCAGATTGAGTGGGGGTTAGAGGAGGAGGACAGCGGTGTGGGCCAGGGGAGAACTTACGCTGCTGTCGCGGCCGGAGGGAGGTCGCAAGGAGGAGGACGAGGCCAGGGCCAAGGGGGCCGGGCCTCAGGGAGCCGGTTCCAGGGCGATCAGGGGGTTGGCGGCAGAGGAGGAAACCGCCAAGCGGGAGGCAGGGGTCAAGGTCCCCCGCAAAACCATCCTAGGAACAGGTCTCCCTATAGGGTAGGAGGATGGCACCCGGGGCTACCGCAGGGTAGGCCTTGGGAAACTTTGGGTCTGGACCAGACTTTATGGCAACAACGATTGGACCGGGGCCACCCGGGCCATATCATCAAATATTGTCCTAAGTATCGCGAGACCCGAATGGCTGCCCAAGGGCCAAAAGGCAGCCGCCGGTAGGGGTAGCAACTGCCCCTACCACTAGGCCATGTGGGGAAGACAGCGCTAGCCGGCAGGAGACTCCCACACCACATGTGCCTATGGCAGAGGTTGCAGACCGGTGTCTAGATGGCTGTCCAGAGACTGCTTGTGTTAGAGTCTCTCTAAACACCTCCCTCACAGGCGTGGGCGAAGAGTTGAAGGAGAGGATGCCCGCCTGGGCCAAGATGAAGAAAGAGAATAAAGGGCAGCTTATATTACTAGATACAGAGATTTTTAGAGGCAGAGTAGGGGCCCTAGTAGACTCAGGGGTTACCCGCAGCTATATTAGTAAGAAAGCGCTGCAGAAATTGAGGCTGGGACTTAAAGTCCAGAAACTAACAGACCCCATAGTTAGTATCCTTGTAGACAATCGTACTATGGTTGTAGAGGATTACGTAGAGGGAGTCCAGGCGTATTTCCGCCTAGAGAAGGATGGGAAAGTGGAGAAGGTCCTCCACTCCCTGACTCTCCTCGTAGAAGACAGCCTCCCATTTGATATTGTTTTGGGAATGGATTGGGGAGAGGCAGCCGGGGCCACGCTCCATTTGAAGGAGCACGAGTGTAGGCTCCCTAGTTCTTCAGGCGAAGCCATGATTGCCGCCTGTTCCACGTGTCAGGAGTAGAGAATCCATTGGCACATTGCTGCCTTAGTGCGCCTACATTCGCCAGATTAGTAAAGAAACCCTGCGATTGCCAAGCTGCTAGAGGAGTTTAAGGATTTAACTGAGCCGCCGACAGGAACGGTGCCGCGGCCCATCCAGCACCGTATCGAAATAGAGCCTAGCAGTAGAACTCCTAAGGGTGTTGTGTATAGGATGTCCCCACGGGAGTTAGAGGAGCTTCGCAAGCAATTAGACGAGCTCCTTGAGAAGGGTTGGATTAGGCCCAGTTCGTCTCCTTTTGGAGCGCCTGTTCTCTTTGTTCCTAAGAAAGAGGGAGAACTGAGAATGTGTATAGACTATAGGGGTCTGAATGCTATTACAGTGAAGAATGTTGAGCCACTGCCTAGGATAGACGATCTCTTAGATCGAGTGCAGGGGGCGAAGTATTTCTCCAAGATAGACTTGAAGTCCGGATATCATCAGATAGAGGTGCATCCTGATGATCAGTATAAGACAGCCTTCCGGACTAGGTATGGGCATTATGAGTTCATCGTCATGCCTTTTGGACTAACCAATGCGCCAGCTACGTTCCAGCGCTGTATGAACAATTTTTTTAGGCCATGGTTAGATAGATTTGTTGTTGTCCACTTAGATGATATCTTAGTGTTTAGCAAGACCCTTGCAGAGCATCAGGGTCATCTTAGGCAGGTCTTGGAGAAGCTGAGGGAAGCTAATTTCAAGATCAATGCAAAGAAGTGCGATTGGGCGAAGACCCAAGTTTTGTATTTAGGCCACGTCTTAGACGGAGACGGCGTTAAGCCAGAGGATAGCAAGATCGCAACGATTAGAGATTGGCCCATGCCACGTACACTGACAGAGTTGCGCTCGTTCCTGGGCTTAGCTAATTATTATAGGAAGTTCGTGAGAAACTTCTCCACCTTCGCAGATTGTTGAGAAAGGAGACCATCTGGAAGTGGGACAAGGACTGCACGTCTGCCATGAAGAAGTTGAAGCAGGCACTGATAGAGTATCCAGTCCTTAAAGTCGTCGATCCGTCCTTGCCCTTTGTCGTCACTACGGATGCTAGCCAGTACGGCATAGGCATGATGTTGCAACAAGACGATGGCAATGGTTATAGGCCCATAGAGTTCATGTCCGCCAGGATGCCTTCAGAGAAGGTCGCGACATCTACCTACGAGAGGGAACTCTACGCTCTCAGGCAAGCATTAGAACACTGGAAGCACTACTTGCTTGGGAGGCACTTCAAAGTCTACTCAGACCATGAGACGTTGAGATGGTTAAAAACGCAGGCCAAGATGACACCTAAGCTTACTAGGTGGGCCGCAGAGATAGATCAATATGACTTCGAGCTCAAGCCAGTTAAGGGGAAGTATAACGTAGTTGCGGATGCTCTGAGTAGGAGGGCAGATTACTTTGGGGCAATAGTACATTATCTAGATATAGGGAAAGATTTGCAGCAGAAGGTTAGAGAAGCCTACGCGCAGGACCCTATCTATAGTGAGCTCCTCACGCGAGTCAAGGAGGCCCCAGAGACCGACCCGAACTACCGCACTACTGAAGGGTTGCTTTTTGAGAAGACTAATGTTTCTTACCGGTTGTGCATCCCCAATAGTGAAGAGATCCGTAGTCTGATCCTGGGAGAATGCCATGACACAGAGGGTCATTTCGGTTGGCAAAAGACTTTAGCCAATCTGATGCGCGCATATACCTGGCCAGGGATGAAGAATGACTGCGTAGAGTATGTTCGCAGTTGTAAGGTTTGCCAGCGTAATAAGACCAGCACGCGTGCGCCGCTAGGTCTTCTCAGACCCTTGCCCATTCCAAATCAGCCGGGAGGCTCAGTGTCCATAGACTTCATGGACACTCAAGTCAAAAGCAGGCATGGCAAGAGCCAAGTCATGGTCGTAGTTGACCGTTTTAGCAAATATGCAGTTTTTGTTCCTTTGCCGTCAGAGGCACGTACTGATTTAGTCATACACAATTTTTTTGACTGTTGGGTGAGTGAGAATGGGATCCCACTGTCAATAGTTAGTGATAGAGATAGTCGCTTTACTAGCCAGAACTGGCAAGAACTCATGGGAGTATATGGATCTAAGTTGTTGATGTCGTCCGACCGTCATCCAGAGACTAACGGTCAGACAGAGCAAATGAACAAGATCCTACAGCAAGTTTTGCGCATGTACATTAGGCCAGATCAGATTAACTGGGACGAAATGTTGCCTAAAGTAGCTAGAGCGTATAATAACAGCGTGCACTTGTCCACCTGCCGCACTCCCAACGAACTGCACAAGTCCTTTAGACCACGCAGACCATTTGAGGGACTCAACCGGGATCAGATTCACAGATTACCGCCCGGGACCAGGGAGTTTGCTGTGCAGCACGAAAATGAACTAGCTACTGTCGTAGAGAACCTCAGGAAGGCCCAGCACAAGATGATAGAGCAAGCCAATAAGCATCGTCGCCCCTCACAGTTCCAGGTAGGCGACTTAGTCTGGGTCAGTTCTAAAGAGTTTGCACCTGAGGAGAACATCTCGCAGAAGTTACTGCCCACCTATAGAGGACCGTGGCCAGTCTTAGAAGTCAAGGGCGGCGAAGATGGACCGTCCTACACCATAGAGCTCCCAGCACACCTCCACACTTACCCAGTTTTCCATGCATCAAAGTTGTTACCTTGTCAAACAAGTGATGAGTTTCCATCCCGTAGATCGATGATCCCACCGGATATGGATGGAAGATATGACATCGATGGTATAGTGGCTGAAGATGTATTCCGAACTGGAGGTAGGGGTCGTCCACAGAAGCAGTACAAGGTTCATTTTAGTTATCAAGAACCGGAAGACAACCGCTGGTTTACAAGATCTGAACTTCTAGAGACAGCTCCCGATATAGTCCGGGCCTATGAGAGACAACAGAGGGGTAAAGGCCCTGCCTTGGACTGAAATTTTCTCGGAGGACCTCGAATTTAGGCCGGCGGGAGTGAAACGGTATTCACCAGTTCGCAGTAGCTGATGCAGATCCCAGGGCTCGATCCCTAGTTCCCCATCTTACCTGTGTACAGTACCGGTGTCAACCCGTAGATTTGAACCTGCTACCTGTAGGGCCGCCAGTGGTAGGTAGCTTTTCGTAGATCGCAGGGTAGAAGGGATTCGAACTGTAGACCTGTAGGGTAGGAGTCCAGACAGTTTAGAGGTCGTAGCTGTAGACTGCCTGAAGGGTCAAGGTCGTAGCTGCTACTTACCTGAAAGGGCAAAGTCGTAGCTGCTACAGTACCGAAAGGCCAAGTTAGAGGTTTCTAGAAGTGGCCTTTCGGAGTGAGCCTGCGTTAAGCGTTAAGCAGAGGCAAGTGGTCAAGTGGTGGTAGTCCACCTAGTACAGTCAGCAGTCCCAGTCCACCCAGTCCGGTCCAGTCCAGCAAGTACCGTCTGGGACTGTGTGCACAATGGGCCAGGGATACAGGGCAGGCCAACGCAGCACAGAAGCATAAATCAAGAGGCTGCGCCCAGCCATTCATTCATTCATGCGGAAGCCATGCGGAAGCGCTGCTTCAGCGTCTTGTGCAAGGAGTTCTGCTGGAGGCCCGAAGACGAAGTTGGCGAGAGTGAAGCAGGGTAGCCATAGCGATAGGTAGCGGCAGCCATAGCTGCCATAGCTTAGTGTAGGGTGCAATGTGTGTGTACTGTGTGTGTGTTCAGAGTGTTGCGTGTGGGACATCCAGGGTGATCCAGAGTGCGAACAGTGAGTTTTGTGGGTGCACAGCCGCCATAGCCAGTGGGAAGAGAACTCTTATCTGGTTACGATATCTTTGAGTACTGTGTGGGCGCATGTCGCCAGTTTGCTGTATCGCTGTTTGCATGCATGACAAGTGTGAATAAGTCGAGTCTGATTGCATCGTCTTCCGATTGGGTTCATTGCAAACACTACAACAGAAATCATGCAAGTTTAATCCCTCTGCTTTGTTCTGATTGTTCTGAGAATTTGTGTGTACACTGTGTAGCTTGCTTCATCCAGACATCTGTCTCTGGTCGTATATCCGTAAGGAATCCATAGATCTATGTGAATTTGACCATCCACCTGTCAATCTACACAAATGTAAATTTCTCTCTCTATCCCTCCCCTGATCTCTCTGACATGTCTCTCTCCTATCATCTTCTCTTCTATAGTCTCGCTTCTGTAGTCTCGCTTCTATAGTCTGTCTTCTATAGTCTGTCGTCTATCGTCTCTTCTCTATAATCTCTCCTCCACTGTCTCTTTTTCTCCTTGAGAGTTCCTGTGTGTCACTTAGTTGGCGAGTCAGTCCGTTGGTTGCATTGCCCTAACCCGTACCATCAGTCTGCAATTTCTGTTTGTCTGATTCGTGTTCCTGTCATTTCTCTGTGCTATATCTGCCTGCAAGCTTGCGATGTCAAACTCAGCCTCCGTGGGCACCTCCAAGAAGAATACGAGGGATGCCTATCATGCCTGTGATTTAGACTGTATACTTCTGTTTTGTGCCTGCTCCCTCCTTTCCGTTCTGTCTTTCGTCCCTTGCCTCTCCCTCTGCGGCTCCCTTTTGGAGACCCTTCTCCTGAATCTCCTCCTCCCCCTCCTGCTCCTCATCTACCTCTTCCTCATCTTCCACCTCCTCCTCCTCCTCTTCCTCCTCCTCCTATTCGTCCTCTCCTCCTCTTCATCCTCCTTTCCTCCTCGTCCTCCTCCTCCCTCTCACCACTTGCTCTTACTTTGCCTGACATGTATCAGCATTTGGAATATCAATCTCCATTTTTGTATGCCTTCTGGAAAAGGGAAAGGTGATGGCAATGGCTTCTAGAAAGGGAAGGATGATGACTTCGTTTGAATCTTCTCTGCTGCTTTCTCTTCCTTGTCGTTCCCATCTTTTCTCCCTCCAACTTCATCTCATCCACCACCCTCTTCCCCATCCAATGCCTGTGTTCTCTCACGTGCTTGCCAGGTCAAGAACCCCTTTGGCAGGACGAAGCCAGCAAAGCCTTTGTTCTTATATCTGGCACCGGTTGTGAGCCTTTTTGAGTCCTTGAAGGCGCTGCAAGACTACGGAGAAGGTAACCCTGGCCTTAAAATGGCTATAGAATGGCTATAGAATGGCTGTAGAATGTCTATAGAATGTCTATCGACTGTCTATAGATAGTATGGAATCCATTCTATAGACTGGATGGACACATGCAGCTCTAACTTTCTAACACTAGTTACCTAGAACCTTTCCTATGGGATGGGGCCATGGATGTAATACTATTTCTTTTGTTTCTTTTGTCTCTTTTGTCTCTTTTGTCTCTTTTGTCTCTTTTGTCTCTTTTGTCACTGCTGTTTCTTCTTTTCACCATCAAGTCCGTCCCACTGGACGCTTTCATACTTGCAAGCAGACGGACCGGACGAGCGTCCGGTCCGGTCCGCTTTGCCGCGTGCGGCACCCTCCCCCCCGGACCGGACGGACCCGGACCGGACCGGACAGGTCCCCTTTTTTTTTTTTTTGGGGGGGGGGGGGGCGTAACTGGTCGTCGGGCGCACATTCATGCGCTGCGCGGGTCCGGTCCGGCGGTCTGCCGCACATGCGGAACCGCCCGGACGGCATCCGCTTGCAAGTATGGACGCTTTCCATTTTTTTTATATTTTGTACGTGGCCCCAGGAAGCTCGAGAACCTCCTGTTTTGAGCCTCTCCGAAAATTTAGGAGGCCAAGTGCCGTAGATAAAATGAATCGGCGGCGGGCGGCCTCCGAAGGGGCCCGCGACTAATAGCTGTCATGTACTGATGCTTCAGTATTTGAGGGACATTTCAAAACCACTTCCTGGTCTCTCCATGTTTTTATAGGGATCTTTGAGGCCCCAGTGAATCTGGTAAGAACACCCATCAACTAAAGTCTCACTGAGACTATGTCCATCCAATATCTATAGAATCTAGTATAGAATCACTATAGATAGTATAGGTTTTTGTTGTCTGCATTGAATGTGTGGTCTCAAAGATCTGGAAAGCAGGTTCTGCTGCGTCAACTGATGTGTGTGGCAGCCTGATTTTCAGTTGACGCCTTTGTGAAAGATGGAGAGGGCATTAGAAAGATGGAATTTCCCTCGCAGAGTCACAAAAGAATTTACAAATAAACAAAACTTCACAAAAGTACACGGCGACTACACGCATCTTTCTAACTTCCACCATCTGGTGTGTGGACGCCTTTGTGAGGGAACGAGGTTGTGGCTGTCACAATAGAACTCATATGGGTGCGTGTTTGTTTGTCTTCTTCTTAACCGCCAGTACCTTTCCCATACATCGGGCGCGGGCAATGCGCGCCAAGGGCGGCGGATGTTTGTGGCAGTCGGCAGAGGCCACATCGGGCCTCCGCGTTAACCGCCGCGCCTCAGCATTTTGGCTGGGAAAGGTACTGGTGGTTTAAACAAAGCAATCGTGCACTTCCACTCTGAGGAAGCACTTATCCCAAGACTGTTGTTATTCAAAAAATCCTCTTTCATCGCTGACTGTACCAGCAGCACGTCAAACCTGATATTTGGGAGGGAAAAAAAAAGTAGAGAGAGCTCAGGAGAGAGAGAGAGAGAGGGGGGGGGGGGGGGGGGGGGGGGGGGGGGGGGGGGGGGGGGCGCATTGGATGGGAGATTTGTGACCCTTGCGCAGGTGTCATGCTAATCTTCCGTGTATTGTGCCAATCTTAACAGATGTCCCAAAGGACTAGCGCATTGCTTTCTGTCCGTCCTTCCCTCTCTTTTACTGCTTTTCCCTGTTTCCCTTCTCCCCTTGCCTTCATTTTTCTTTTCTACCCTTCTGGATCAGGTTATCCCCAGACCTTATTGCATTCCTTTTACAGGATTTGAGCTCTCGAACTGTTGATAGGATTTGAGCTCTCGATCTGTTTATGAACAGTTAAGTTACGTGTGTGTGCCACTCAACCACAGGGCAGATACACCTCCCCTTTCCTTCTGTTTCTTTTTTTTATTTATTTGTAATGCAGCAATTTGTCTGGCACCGTGACTCTCTTGGGAGTCAGTGTGGGGTATGTTGCATACTCGTTAAACACAGTCATAAGTATGGCGCAGATCCCCAGAACCGACCAGATAATACGGAGTAAATACAAATACAGCGGAAGACTTGATACACATGGACTGACTCAAAACCTGACTCAGACTGCCATGAATCTCTCACAAACATGCATCGGTGGTGTGAAAGCCCTGGCCTTGAACATGGAAGAAGAGGCCAGGGGCTGATCTCATACACGGATGAATGGGGGGGAGGAGAGACGAAGGGAGGAGGAGAGGGAAGATGACGTCAACTCAATGTTTCCAAAAATAGTATCTTGAAATGTCAGAAGTAGCGAGAATCCGAAATGTCGAGAATACMGAGTCTCACAGTGTCTCAGATATCGACCTCACAATGTCAAGATACATCCTCAGAGGTAGATGAAGTCAGATCCCAAAGTAGTCCTCAACCTGCAGTCGCAACGTCGCTATCTCTAGTATCATCAGAACTCGTAACCATCCTTCACAGTCGTAGTAGTCCAGTAGGAGTAACCCGAGAGTAGACTTGGACTTAGAGGGTAGGGGGAGAGTGAGTGAGTGAGAGAGAGAGAGAGAGAGAGAGAGAGAGAGAGAGAGGAGGAGGAAGAAGAAGAGGGAGGAAAGGCGAAGCCTTTCTCCCTGGTACCTGGCGATGCAGCTATGGCGCGGCAGGGCTGGGCGCTGGGCCGCGGGCTGGGCCAGAGGGCCGGCGCTGCTCCTGCTGCTGCGCTAACTCACTGCTGCGCTGTTCCTCCTCGCTGCTGCGCTAATCTCTCTGCTGCTCCGTGCTTCCCAGCGCTGAAATGCTGCGCTAATCTGTAGACTAACTCGTAGCCTAACCTCCAGACCAACTGTAGACTAACCTCCCTACTGAGGCCGGTACCCGGCTGATAAGGCTGCTGGTACCTTGGGTCTGGACTGTTAATCTGATTCAATGGTTCAGATCCGTTGCCGGAAACTGAAAGTGGCGGCCTAACTTGGCCGCTGTTCAAAACTGTGCCGCCGGTAGGTCCTACCGCTGGACCGGTACCGGCCTGAACCGATGTGACCGTTGGGCCTGTCTAGACCCCTACACCTAGGCCTCCGGGTTCTAACTGAACCGTCATACCCTGACCTCGATGGAACCGGGCCCTAACTGGGGCCCGTGTGGCTCAGAATGCCACAGGTATCACCTGCATGTGGGGAGAATTTTATGCGTAAGTGAGTGAGCATTTGGCATTTGCCTTTCATTGTTCTCAAAACAAAGGAGTACTAAGTGTGGAATGCTCCTCCTCCTTCCCTCCCTCTCTCCCTCCTTCCACTTTCAGGCGGATGCGGAGAGAATGGCCAGCAAGTTCGCACACCAAAAGGATTATTGCAATTTACTTAATTTGTGAAAACTCATGCCGTAGAGTGTGGAACACACCTCCCTCTCTCCTTCCCTCCCTCCTTCCCTCCCTCCTTCCCTCCCTCCTTCCCTCCATCCTTCCCTCCAGCCCTCCCTCACTCCCTCCCTCCCTCCCTCCCTTCGTCCCTCCCCACTTCCCTCCCTCCTTCCCTCCCTCCCTCACTCCCTCCTTCCCTTGGTCCCTCCCCACCTCCCTCCCACCTCCCTCCTACCTCCCTCCCTCCCTCTCTCCTTTCCTCCCTCCCTCTCTCCTTTCCTCCCTCCCTCTCTCCTTTCCTCCCTCCCTCTCTCTCTCCTGGAAGAGGTGTGCTGCCTGGGCAGTGGTTAGACCTCCGAAGATGCTGGCTTCTCATCAAAGGAGTCCCTGCTTTAATTTCAGAGTCCCCTTTTTATAATTGCTATGTAGATAAGATGGTGGTGCTTGGCATATTTATTATTGAATATTTAATATTTATTATTTATTAATTTAATTTTGTTTATTTAGTTCTCTGAGACCTGTGGATTTTGTCTTTTACCAAAATCTGAAATTCCATCCAGATGCGTCCAAGTTTCAAGTTCAGTTGAAGCGAGTTCTTGGCTCGACTTCGTCTCTAAGAGAAAATTTGCTGAGGTATGCTGTGATTGCTCTCATCCTTTTTTTTTCTTTTTTCTTTTTTTTCTTTTTTTCCCACTGGTGTCATATCTGATGCTCTTTTTTAATATCTCATTTGCATCTTATCACATCATTTGCTTGTTGTGCTCTGCTTTAATATCCCAGTTTAATAATATCTGATGCTCTTTTAATATCCCATTTGTTTTTCTAAACTTCTTTGAATTAGAACATGGTGAAAACAAAGGGGAACAAACAGGTTAGAAAAACAAATCTTTTTTTACAATGTTTTCACACTTGTAGACCTTGAGAGGAGGGAGGGGTGGTCGGGAGCCACGTAATGATGCTGCTACAACTCCAATGATTTCTCAGGTCCCCAGCCTGAGTACTCCAGGGCACTTGCTGTCCAAGGCACCTTCTTCAAGTTAATGGATTATATGAACCCCTTTTTCAAACTAGTGGATTATCCTGTGGGTAGAAAGCAAGTTCCCTAGAGTGTTCAACTTCTCTAGGGCACTTGCTTTCTAGGGAACTTGCTTTTCAGGGCAATTGCTTTGTAGGGTGCTCGCTCTCTAGGGCACTTGCTTTCTAGGGACCTTGCTTCCCAGTGCAGTTGCTTTCTAGGGTGCTTGTTCTCTAGGGCACTTGGTCACTTTCAAAGTAATCAATTATCCTTTTTTCAAAGTAATGGATTATCCTGCGGCTAGAAAGCAAGTTCCCTAGAGTGTCCAAATGCTCTAGGGCACTTGCTTTCTAGGGAACTTGCTTTCCAGGGCAACTGCTTTCCAGGGTGCTTGCTCTCCAGGGCACTTGCTTCAAAGCAATGGATTCTGAACCCCTTTTTCAAAGTAATGGATTATCTTGTGGCTAGAAAACATGTTCCCTACAGTGTTCAACTGCTCCAGGGCACTTGCTTTCTAGGGCACTTGCTTTCCAGGGCAATTGCTTTCTACGGTGCTTGTTTCTAAGGTGCTTGCTTTCTAGGGAAATTGCTTTTCTGGGCAATAGCTTTCAAGGGCATTTGCTTCCTAAGGCACTTGCTTTCTAGGGCATTTGCTTTCTAAGGCACTTGCTTTCTAGGGCATTTGCTTTCTAGGGCACTTGGCCATTTGACACTTGCTTTCCTCTGACACTTCCTTCAAAGTTCAAAGTAATGGATTATCCTATGGCCATGTGCTGAATGCCTTCACTGTGATAAGTAACACCTCGGGCATTGAGTACAATTTCGCATTTGTTAATCAGTCTCATCTTAGACTTATCTTAACCTTCATCTTTATCTCTATATTTATCTTTATCTTTATCTTATATTACGTTATCTTATTTTAGCTTATCTTATTGTACCTTATTTTATTTTACCTTATTGTACGCTCGCCTATCAGTATTGTAATGTATCATTTTTTTTTGGTTAAAAAGGGGTAGCTGTAAGGACCTGCCAAACATGGATTGAGAAAACAGCTGATTTCTGAGTTTTGCTGCTGGAATAAATGCCTTGCTGAGATTCCCGCGCGTCCTTGCTGCTCTGCGTGCCTGTCTGAGTGCTTGTCAGTCTGAGTGTGTGTGTGACCTGCAAGGGCACTTGTTTGTGTGGAGGCCCCAGCAGGGCCGGTACATACCTGTGGCCGTGACTTTGAGGATTGCAGCGGGGATAATGCTCAAGTAGCAGGAGTAGGCCCGCAAAACTTAGAGCAGCGGGTAAAAACATTCAAGTAGCAGGTAGGCCGGTACCACCCAAAGAAGCGGTAGACGTGTCAGGGGCTGGAGGCCGAGCAGAAGAAGACAAAAGTTGGCATTTTTAGAGGCCCAGTAGTTGTACGCTAGGTCTCGGCGGGTACCAGTCCAAGTAATCGGAGTCTAGGGCCTGTGCGGACGATATCAGAGCCTGCAATGGTGCTTCCCTCCGAAAGGGAGGAGGTATTTGTTGCTTGGAGGCCGCCCGGCCTGGAAGTCACCGGCCAAGGAGGCTGCTGCCCCGCCATATCTCGAGGAAGAGTGAGGAACCCTTCCTCATTTGCTGCATGCAAGTTTGGAAGTCACGCTGCTGGAGGGTTGGGCCGCTGCTGAGTCCAGCGCTGGGGAGAAGAGGAGCACCCAGCTCTCAACCTTGGCTATGGTGGAGGAGCTCGGGGAGGAGGAGGAGGAAGAAGGGGACTAGGAGAGGGGAGAGCCAGGAGTACTTACCTGGCTATGGTGGACGCCATCTTCATCAGCTTGGTGAGCGCTGCATCTGGAAGGCCCCCGTTGGGGTAGAGCTGCACCAAGAAGCTTCGAGGCAGAGTCAGGCACGGCGGCTTGAGTGGAAGAGTCCATAGCTTCTTTGCATTGTCTTTTACACATGAGGGCAAGGCCCTTCGTAGTCCTGCCATAGCCTCGGCCTGCAGGAAGAAGGAAGAGGAAGGCAACCATGGCTATGGTAGACTTCAAGTTGGGCTGGCAGTAGAAGAGGGATTCGGACATTGATTCTGGTTCTGCCATTCATCATCATTATTATTATTATTATTATTATTATTATTATTATTATTATTATTATTATTATTATTATTTATTGTTTGAATAAGAAAGCAGGAGTACAGGAGGAGGAGTTTGGTTGGCGAGAAGAAGGGGGATTATCATTGGTCTTTGCTGGTGTACATCTTCTTCTTCTTCTTCTTCTTCTTCTTCTTCTTCTTCTTCTTTATGTCTTCTCCTTCTTCTTCTTTCCCTCTCTCTCCTCTCAAGTTCATTCATTTCTTTTGCAATTGGATGGCCTTGTGCTTTCTCATGCATGTGTACTTCGAAATTGGCCAGGATCGTTACATTGGTATCAGAGCGGATTCGACGGCCTGGGGTGAGTTGTATTCAAGCTAATTGGCTTGCCGTTGGAATCGGAGCCAGACTGTTGCTCCCCCAGAAGAGAAGGAGACTTGCTCTTTGGTTGGAAAAAAAAAAAAAAAAGATTCTTCAAATGGAGCCAGGACCATGAGGACCTGTTCATAACAAAAAAAAAAAAAGAAAGGTTTCTCCTTTTGCCCATTCGGCTCATTATATAACTTGATGCCCTGTGTCTAGTTCTTTTTTTTCTTTCTTTCTTTAAAGTCATATATGTATCTTTCTGACGTAATTGACCCAATTGGAGACAATCTTCTAGAATCATATAATTATCAGAAGTAAGCGATTATTCATTGGAAGACTGGATTATGCAATCTGAAGACTCATCAGTCCAATACCATTGATGTCCAATCGCTTATGTTGTCGTTTTCTAATTCTCTGTTTGTTTCTTGCCATGCATTTCTTATTTTGATAGCGCTGCATCGGCATTGGAAAACGATGCAGATTCAGAGGCAGCTACTTCACTTGCATTTGAAGCCTTAGATTTCCTCAATCAGGTACAAAAAGTGCTATTACTATCACTTCAAGTTGCAATCAACCACTCTCTCTCTCTCTCTCTCTCTCTCTCTCTCTCTCTCTCTCTCTCTCTCTCTCTCTCTCTCT